TAAGCACGGAGAATGAGCGGGTACAGTGTGCTTTCCAGATATCTATAAACCGATTTCAGCACAGGTTCATTCTCGATAGCACAGGGTCGGAGGGAATACTGACATTCCGTGTCCAGCTCGAATCTCTACTATGCACGTTAGCTAAACGCTATTGGGAAAGACGACGTGTACGCACCGGACAAGCCGCTTCCACGCGCGCTAGTAGGTTCGCACTACCGAGCTCTAGGATGGGTTTAACCAGATCGAATCTGACGTTATCGCCAAAGTCAGCTTGCTCTGAAAGTAGTCATCGTGAGTAGATGCTCGCCAGCGAAGCAAGGATACTTAAGGTACCTTCGGCGCATTTGTTGAGAACTATGTGCATGTGTATGATTGAGCCGAGGCCTTGATGTAGGATGGTGGCGGAGACATACCGATGCTGGCGATTCGAACAAGAGTCGGTAGCTCATTTGTGGTCGAGTCAAAGCTTAGACTGGAGGACATGGTGGTTCAGGACAAGAAGCCAGCTCGAAGGAGTGTGAGTTGGTTGCGTGTGGAAGATGTGGAGGGAGGTTGATGAAGGCCGGAAGGAAAGGAGAAGCAGGGGTTGTTATATATGATTTCCCCGTGACTGATCCGGGGCAAAGGCATGGTGATGATTTGTGTATTTTTGGGTCCGAGGGTTATTGTAAATAGTGGCCTTGACAACTTCTCTCATGGCCATCGAGGTCAGGTGGCCGTTGAACTGCTTGTTGTTGGGGGAATTACTTTGGTTTTTTATTTTAACGTGTGCAAACGAGTTGGCCGTCGAGATTGAATACCATCCACGACCCGTGATCGGATCAGCCTCACCAGTACCATGTACAGCAGCAGTTTCATTCAAACCTGTACCACCAAACCTCCATAACAATCCTACAGTCAAACTCATGGCCCCCTGATCTATTCTCCAACTCACAGGCCCTTTAATACCTCTTTCCAATCCAAATGGACCACCCCCAACAAGAACAAGAACACACCACTCGCTGGGAAAAAACCAAAGCTTTCATCAAGAAAGAAGCGACATTCTTCCGTATTCACATCGCCGCCTTTGTGTTTATCCCACTCCTCGCATCGATCGTGTTCTACTTCTGCAATGGTCGCTTTCGTGTATCCTACTTGGACTCGCTGTTTCTGTGCTACTCGGCTATGACCGTCACTGGTCTATCGACGGTCAACCTCTCAACGTTGACAGTGTTTCAGCAGGTGCTTATGTACTTGCTCATGATCATTGTGAGTGTCTCTGTACCCGGGAGACGCGACTTCGTCTAATGACCGCCTCGTGTCTTTAGGGTGACATCACTTTCATTTCGTGGATCATGGTGCTGGTCCGCAAGTACGTTTCAGCTCTTCTTCAGTTTACCATGTAGGTTTTAACACCGAATCCCTTAGGAAATACTTCCAACACCACTGCGAGTACGCCGCAAAGACGACCCCTTCACTCCTGAAAAGGTCCCGCACCATGTTCACCAGACCAGCCATATCCCAACCTATCAAGGCCATTCCCCTCGGTGTACCCGCACCTAATCAACCAGTCCCTAGCGAGAAGCCCATGAGTGCCCAAGTGGATTTAGAATCCTCGCAAACCGCCACACTGCACAACGACAACGACGATGACGGAAACCTGCTGGACGACCCTCTCCTCCAGCTCACATCCTCCCCACAGTCAATGGGCGGTGTCCCGCTCCCCTCGAGCCCCGGCGCGCGGTCGGCGCGCCATGTAGGCTTCGCGTCGGCGCTGGAGAGGAAGATGACTTCTATCCCTGGTACATCACTCTTCACACTCACTCTCACTCAGAAGACAAGCTAACACGCACATTGAAGAAAGCGTGCCCATCACCCGACGCGGTATGACTGTCCTCGCCGCCCGCTCCTTCCCCTCCGCCAATCCTAATAGCACAAACGCCAACGTCCCCGCCCACGACGACCCCAAATACAGCGGCGGCTTCGGCGTCCCCAACCCCATCCATCTCGCGAATCGCCTTATCCACCGTGCCGTGCCCCGAACCCACTCCGCACTCAGACGCAGATTGACTATTCCGCTGGTGCAGACGTACACTAGCACTGGGAATGGGGAGAACGATGATGCGTCGTCGGAGTCGGGCATCTCCGAATTCCTCACAGCGAAATGGCTAGAGTTCTCCGGGCTGATTGTTAACCGGAACTCGGACTTTCGGACGGACTCGTTGAGCGATGAACAGTTGGAGAGTATTGGGGGGGTGGAGTATAAGGCGTTGAGGTTGTTGAGTTATTTGGTTCCTGCGGTAAGTCAAATCTCTAAGTTCACGCTGGTGAGGGATGAAACGGCTGACATGTCGTGATTGTTGCAGTACTTCATCCTGACGCAAGCGATCCCGTTCCTCCTCTTTGCCCCGTGGCTCGCTACGACCTCGCTCTATAATGGAGTGTTTGCGGCTCAGCCGAGGATGGTTAATAAGACTTGGTTCGTTCCAAGTTCTCTCTTGGCTCCAGTGATGATTTAAGTAATACTCACGAGCTCAAACGCAGGTTCTCGCTATTCCTGCTCATGGGTGCCTATACCGGCGGTGGGCTGTCCTTGGTTGATATGTACGTCGTCGTCATCGCCTCGTGGTATGGTGCTGGAGGGGGCTGATGGATGGTGTAGGAGCATGGTTCCGTTCCAGGGGGCGTGGTTACTCGTTCGTGAGTCTTTCAATGTTCGCCCAAGTATTTCCAGACCTGTTCTCTGATAGTGCCACAAGTTGCTATCTCTTTTGTTATACTCGCTGGAAATCACGCTATGGTACGTAATTCCCTCTCTGAGTTTCATCCGTGGGGGTACCTAACTGATTGTCGCGTTTTCAGCCAATCTTGTAAGCATACACACTATTGCCTAGAGTCATCGAGAACTTGACCAACCCCGTTCGTTTATCCAGCCTGAGATTCGTGATGTACGTCCCAAGTTCTTCTGAAGAAGCGGGCCAGAGTCCGAGGAAGCTAACGCTGCCACGCTCAGATGGGTAATGTCCCGCATCGTCCGTGAGAACTCGGACCATGACAAGACGTTGTCGTTTTTGCTTGATCATCCTAGGAGGTACGTTTGGTATCCTGCGTTTTCAGTCCCGTGTTCATGACGTTTGCCTCGGTAGATGCTTCGTTTATCTGTGAGCGTTGCTTTCTTTCTCAAGCGAAAGAAAGAGCTGCCGAGGCTCATCTGGACGATGACAGGTTTCCGAGTCATCAGACATGGTTTCTTGGTGAGTGACATTCTTCGTATCCCTGGCCTATTCTTAGTTTCTCGGCTAACTATTCCATAGCGATATGTCTCGTCGCTTTCAGGTCCGCCCGTTCGCCCATCGCTTCTTATGCATATATCTCATCTTATCATCCATCCAGCGCTATAGAATGGGGCGCCTTCGAGGTTCTCAGTGCGTCTTCCTTCTCATGCGTCTAGAGGTGATCTCTCGCTAATTTCATGTAGACATCGGCTTGCCAGCGTTTGAGTCCATCGCAGAAGGCCCACGAGTCGCAGCAGGTCTGTTTCAGGGTCTTGCGGCTCGTGCGTCGGGCTTTTCGATCGTGCCGGTGGCGAGTATGGCTCCTGCGATCCAGTACGTCTCCCTTGTGATGGGATGTGTGGATACGGACTAACTGGTGGGCTGTGAAGGTTCTTGTATATCGTGATGATGTACATTGCTGTGAGTGGCTCATCCTATGTTTTGTTTGCTTTGGCTAACTTGTTTGGCTAGGTGTATCCCGTATGATCTAATGCTTATCGTCCGACTCAAGATAGGTACTGATTCCACTCACTCGACAGGTCGCGCTGAGCATTCGATCTACGAACGTGTACGTCCCATGTTCGACCAACGAGGATACGCCACCATACTGATCATCCCATAGGTACGAAGAACGCTCACTCGGTGTCTTTGAGCTCCCGGAAGAAGACGAAGATGAAGAGCCTTCGTCTGAAGCTATGACCAGCCTGAACCGCAGACAGCGAGTGGGGAGATACGTGGGGTGGCATTTGCGCAGACAGGTCTCGCAAGGTGCGTCTCGTCTACCCACTCTTCGTCCGTTTAGAGGTAACACATGTTCTGCGACGGCAGATATCTGGTGGATCGTATGGGCGGTGCTGCTTATTGCGATACTCGAACGAAAGAACTTGATGGATGAGGAGCTGAAGTGGTTTGATATGTTCAGGATTATCTTCGAGCTGGTGTCGGCGTTTGGTGGGATTGGGCTGAGTTTGGGTGTTCCCTATGTGAGCTCGAGGTTTCTTCTTGCGTTCGAATCTGATACTAAGGTTATTGCAGGACAACTTTTCGTTCTCGGGTGGACTGCGGCCTTTGTCTAAGGTCGTTATAATCGTGATCATGTTCGTGCAGTCTCTCAATTATGTGGAACAAGAACTTATGAACTTTGACGAACAGGGTACGAGGGCGTCACAGAGGTCTCCCCGTCGCCATCGACCGTGCTATCCTCCTTCCCTCCGAGCTTATCACCTCCAACAATAACGCACCCCAGCCTCCGAACAAACAGCAAACCACTCGTACCTCAGCATCGGGTGGCATACCCAGACCTTCTGCAGAGCCAACGAGTGCTCTCCTCAATCCCGCTTGATCTTATCTTTCTTTCTTTCCTCTTGCATCTGCTCTCTGTCTTGCTTTCAATTATACACACTCATACCTCGTAATACACACACACGTAGACACGCATACTCCGGATCGCTTTCGCTCTTTCACATTGCTCTCTCATTTCTTGGCTGGCCTAGATTGCTACTGTACATAGATATAGACATCATTCTTTGAGCCTTGTCTTTCTTGGACAACATATACCAACTATTATCATGTTTCTGTTACTGGATGTTTTACTTCACGAGTGTTCTCTGCCAACGCGCCGATAGGGATGCTTCGCAAAATGAGAACTGCGTTCAAGTACTTAAGTAGGCATGGACATGGAGTTCTGTTGACGGGCTGCCTACGTTCAAATGATGATTTAAGTGCCTTTGGCAATCCATGCAGAAGGCCCGCGTTGTCTAATGGCTATGACGTCAGACTTCTATTCTCTTAGAGTCTATCTGGAGGTTGCGGGTTCGAGTCCCGCCGTGGGTTTCTTTCTTTGCGCCGCGAGTAATGATTTTTGCTTCTCTGCCATGATGCAGTGAGTAGCTAGCCGTCGCGACGGTCGCGTGCCCGAAGGTCTTGCTCTCGGCCACTACCGCCCTCAGACATTATACACTTTCATTCAACTCTCGCATACAAGTACTATCAAGCAACATCGCGAGGCACATCATTTTTTGCAGGACCGTTTGGGATATTGAGTTAGTCCTGGGATTCTAGATCTGTGCGTGCAGGAATCCTGCTGACTGGCCTGGCCACGCCTGTACTCAGGGGGTATGAAAGAGACAGACAGCGAGAAGGTCCCACCTATTCCCAACTCGCTCAACGTCTACCCACAGGTCATGCGCTTTGCTCCTCGCATCCGGAGTATTCGCGATCCTCGTCGGGAGTTGCCGGCTCTCGCCAGCGTGGCAAGTGTATGTGTTTGAATTAGATAGCATCGGGTCGTTTTTTCAGTTCCTTTCTGGAGTTGGGAGCCTCACCTGGGCTGCCAATTTTCGACAAAGTGGTATTTTCAGGTAGCCGGGGATCATATTCAGACTAAGCGACATCAAGGTTTGCTGGCGCTGCGTCTGTAGAAGTTGTGTAGCCAGGTATGATCTCGCACTGGAATGAGGTGACGATGGACGGAATTTTGCTCGAGAAGGCCGTCTCTCTCAGCGCGGAATATACCACAGAGAAAATGCAGGAGATATGGGAGCTGGTCAAAGCCTTCGAAGCGCTGACTGCTGGCGGTGACCGGTGAGTACTGAGTACCGAATTTTCGGCCTGACCATACGCTCGAGCCTAATCATCTCAACCACCAGATTATTCTGACCTAAGTATGGGGGTGAGCCTCAGGCCTCAAGACGTGAAGCAGGAAAGCTGCTATGAAACGGCGATGAGGTACACAAAGTTGGATTCGGATACTTCTGGAGAACTAATGGAGCGGTATCATGTAGCGCCTGCGGTATGGTGTGTACAAGGTGTGTATCATGACAAGTGTAGAGAAAAGGAAGGGAAGAGAGATTTCAAGCAGTCATATATGTCGTACGGGTATTAGATTAGATCGAGAGACTGGTGTAAAACCGGAAAATGGAAAATGCCAATGGGAGCAGTCCAGGTTAAGTGTGTTGTTCATCGTGCGGCGATCCTCACACCAACGGAAAATCCGTCTGCTTTTCCCTCCCTCGACGAGCTCCAAGCAATATCGCGACGGCTCCGCCTGTTGCACTAATCTCCCCTCGCCAGCCATGAGTTTGGCCATGAGAGAACAAGTCCTCGTTACGTAACGCCACAATCTCGACCAAGGACTGCCATCTCCAGAACATCGCAATCATGGGTACCACCTCTCACTCCCTTCCCACCACCTAACCCCAACTCATCCCTCTCTTGCGCCAGGCATCGCGATATGGCTCGTCCCCTCCCCCTCCGACACATTCGCCCTCAAATCCATCATGCGAGCCCCCGTCCCATCTAACCTTTCCTCAAGCTCAGGCTCATACCCCTCCTTCGAACCACACATCACCCTCGCTTCATTCCCATCTACCACCCCCGTTGAATCTATAATATCCGCCATCCCACCAGCATCCGACATACCCCGCCTACAGTGCAAGTTCGCCTCTATCGTGCTCGGCAAGGTATTCTTCCGGAGCGTCTACATCGCTATCAGGCTCACAGAGGATCTCGCGGAGTTACACGGCAAGATTCACGAGAAGATGGGAGTGGAGGCGAAGACGCCGTGTTTCCCGCATGTGTCGCTTTGTTATGTTAGTGATGAGGATGCGGTAGGTGGGGAGAGGAGTAGGTACGGGGAGAGGCTGTGGAAGGAGAGTGAGATGATAGAGGAATTTGGGGAGGAGGAGGCGGTTAAGTTGAACCTCAATGGGTGGAAGGATGGGTTTGTGGGGAGCGAGATATGGGTGGTGAGGTGCGAGGGGCCGATCGAAGGTTGGGAGCCGGTTGAGAAGATCAAGTTGACAGAGCAACGACGTGTATTACCCGTGTAGATTTGCATAAAATTGCAGGTTCTGTGAGCTACAGATATTCGTGATGATTGTGAATGAAGAACAAGTCTACCCCCTCGCTGCCTTGAATCTCGACAGCTTCTTCCCCTTCTGCGGCGTTTCCTCCTCCGCCGTATTAGGGCTCGAGGAACTGGCCACCTCTCTCACAGCGGCAGAAAGCACCGTCGGCGGCTGCCTCGCGCGTGGAGTTGGCCTATCCCACATATAAGTGACATCTGGTCCCATCCCACTGTCTTCCGATCCCCGCTGCACGTCTGACGACGTCGAAGTTATCGGATTACGCAGCGCCGACGGCCCCGGCCCAGTCGTGGTGAAGTCAGGCATTGCCGGACTTGCGGGGATCTTAGGGCTTGACCTCGCATCGTGCGACGTGGGTGTTTCTGGACGAGACCCAGGCGGAGATACCTCTGAGTCGGAGTCTTTGGGAACCCGAACAGGCTTAAAAGGCGCTGGTTTACTCGGGTCGTATCTCGACAACTTCGGCGGTTCGTTCGCCCCCGATGGACCAATATTCTCCACCCCATCCAAATTGCCCTTCTTCAGCAGCTCGAGTATCTCGTCCATCTCGTTCGGCAGCTCGTCGTCGCTGTCACCTTGTGGACCGCCGGCGAGTTGATCGCCATCGAGTTTGCCGTACCGGATGGAGTCTTGGATTGGGGAGCCTGGGACGATGACGGATTTTGGGGGGAGGCGGGATTGGAAGCGGGATTTGGAGGATTTGGGAGGGGCGTGGGAGAGGGTGGCGTCGAGGGGGACGTTCTAAGCAGATAGATACGCAGGGTCAGCGACTGAGTCTTGGATGCAGATAGAGATATGTACCTCTTGATTCCAATCTGGCTCTTGGGGCGAGGCGGGGTTAGCCATGGCATTCATAAATTCTGCACCCATCCGCTGTTTCCGCTCCAGGTATTCTAACGCAAGTTCGCGCTGCTCGCGGGCAAACTCGAACTCTTCGTCAGCAGAGTCTGCGTCTTCCACCTGCGTGTCGCTGGTGTCCTCTGAGTCGGAGTAGCCATGTTCGATACTTTGGGAGTAGAGGGGTGTAGCGTATTTCATGGGTTCGGTGCTGCGAGTCTGGTCGGAACGGGATCTGGAGAGGGGTGTGGCAGAGAACGGCTTGCGAATCGTAGAGATCGAGGGAGTCCGTTCGATGACGGTGGGCTGCATGATTGCTACTTCTTTGTCGTCTACGCGCGAATGTTTGCGGGAGCTCGGGACGTCGGCATCGGCCTCCTTGGTTTCCTCAGAAAAAGACACGGTCTTTGAAGGTCTCGTCGCGGGCCTTTTCTCAGCGGGGAAAGAAGCAGCAGGCGCTTTCTTCGTCTCCTTCTCTCGATCCTCAGCCAGAGAACGTAGCAAAGCCTTGCCCATCTTCTTCTGCATCGCCTTTGCAGACTTAAGCTTGTCCAAGTCGTCCTTGACGCGCTCTTTGCGCTTCTCGTACTCCCGCTTGTCTTTGACGACTTCGCGCTGCTCCTCTTGAACACGTTTCTCCTCTTCTTCCTCCTCCAGTTGGTCAAGAATCCGATCGCGCTCCCGGCGCCTGATGTCAAGTTGTGCTTCAGTGAGGGAGGAGATGGGTACGATTGGGTCGTCTCTGAGGATAGAACCAGCTCCGTAGGCGTTGTCGATGTCTGATACGGGCTCGGAGATTTCGATTATTGGGAGACCTTCCTCATTTAAGAGCTGCACTTTGACGTCAGTTAGCCTTCGCTGTGATCTGAGCAGAGGAGTGTAATGCGTTGCGCACCTGGCCTGAGATATTGTTTCTCTGGATTTCGGGTCCAGTCATCTCGGAAAGCTTGTCGGAGAGTCTCTGTAGTGCCTCGGGTGATATTTGGGTTGGTTTGTCGTTATCTGCGCCGCGTCCGAGGGATTCGAAAAGTGCGTGGAGTGCTAGATGGCTGATGTGAGCTTTACAGATGAATAAGCTGCTTAGGTTAATAGAGACCTTCCACGCCGCCATCTGGGAGATTTGTCGTCGAGGAAGCCATGTTGAACTCGGGTTGAACTTGAGAACTTCGCTCCTGACTGAGTGGAGGGAGAGTCCAATATTGATCTCGTGACCGTCTTTCAGCTTTCTTCAAAGTTTCTACTCGCCTCACCAGGTCCTCACTACACCCACCTCCTCCTCCACTTATTCATCATGGTCGTCGTCAACACCCAGCCCAGCACCTCCGCCGAGGCCCCCACTCAGCACAAAAACAGGAGAAGAGTCTCCAAAAAGCCGCAGTCAGCAGCAGCCACCAAGCCCATTTCAGTCGATGAGGATGAAGATATGACTACCGATCTCACCGAAACTATCCCCGTCGTCGATCCCGCTGCAGCTGCCGCATGGAATGACGATGACGCTGTAATGATCGACGACGAGCCCATGGAAACTCTACAGGATTCCACTGGGCCGACTTTTGAAGCGCTCCCTGCTAGTGCAACGAAATCTGGCCTGAAAAAATCGGAGACGAGGAGGGTACCGATTCCGCCGCATCGGATGACACCGTTGAAGAAGGACTGGGTTAATATCTTTGGTCCGTTGACGGAGATATTGGGGTTGCAGGTGAGGATGAATGTGCAGAGGCGATCGGTAGAGATTCGGGTGAGTTTTGGTCTTTTATCATCGCACGGGCAGGGTGTTTAACGAGCATGGCTTTGGTAGACATCGAAGCACACGAAGGAGATTGGGTCGCTGCAGAAGGGCGCTGACTTTGTCAAGGCTTATGCGCTTGGGTTCGACGTGAACGTACGTTGTTGAACTCTACCCTTTCTCCCGACGAGACTAAACCTCTTCACAGGACGGCATCGCCTTGTTGCGACTGGACGACCTGTACCTCGACTCATTTGAGATCAAGGACGTAAAAACTCTGCACGGCGATCATCTTTCCCGCGCCATCGGTACGCTCCGTTCTCCGTCCATTCATCGGTTCCTGATCTTGACCACCCCTCCAGGACGTATCGCAGGGCAAGACGGCAAAACGAAATTCACAATCG